TGGCGCACGAGGGCGAGGGCGCGGAGGGTCTTTCAGACCGTCTCCCTGGAAAGCAGAGCCGCGGCTGAGCAGGACCGGGGGCGGTGTTGCTCCCCTGTGGCTTCTTTCCCTGGATCCGCGCGTGTTTGCACGGCCCAGGGAGAATTACAGGACCAGCCTTTGGGAGCCCTGAACAGGGATGCGTGCAAAAACCCAGCCGAGAAAACGAGTCGGAAGAAATTTCAGGAATCTCCCGGATTCTCCTGATGCAAAAAAACTGGAGGGCTTCGGATAAAGATAGATTCAAACACTAATCCCTAAATCCCACGGAGAGAAACTAATTCTCTCTCTCTTCTCCCTCCTGCCTCGGTGGAATATTTTACATAACAGGGATAATTCAGGAAGAACGTTAAAAAAAGAGAGAACTCAGGTTAGCACTGACTTGTGCCTATATTTAGCAGAACCACGGCCCGATTTTCTCATGGAAGCCAGCAGTTGGACTATTACCTCTAGCTAAAAACAAGTTGTTTTGAGAATTGCTTCTAAGTCAAGAAGACGGTACTGTATAGGGTGTACCTTTTATTTATGTATGTATGTATTTATATTTCAAATTGAGACACCACCCATCTCATGAGGAAGTGACTCTGGGCGGTTATTGTATTAGTATTAAACTTTGATGGTTTAATACTCCTAAAACCTGTTTTTTGTTTTTTTTTTCCCCCCCTTTCTTGTAGTCTATCCAGATAGTTTTGTGCGTGGAAGAAAGGCTCTGCAAAAATGGCTCTGTTGAAATGCGGCTGGCTCTGGAGACAGAGTAAGTTAATTTGGGAATTCCTAGCGTGGACTGGAATTGGCATCTCTTTAAGAGGCTGCTGACAATGATGGCTTTTCTTGGTTCTGTTCTGGTGGTGGTAGGGGGCCCTCTGGGAGGCTAACTGGCAACTGCTGATCTTGGAAGCTAAGCAGAGACAGCTTTGGTTTGTACTTGAATGGGCAGACCTCTGGCAGTAAAGGGGAAAAGTCCCAGAAGATGACGGTGGCAAATCATTTGCCAAACACTGGTAAGAAAGCGACATGGATGCGTTAAGGAAGTCAAGAGTCTTTATCATATCAAGGTTGGGCTCCACACGAACTCAACAGAATTAAATTGGGTTTAAGCTCTGGTTAGTCCTTGGATGGGAGACCGCCAGGGCTGAAGCGTAGATAGAAATCGAAAAACATCCTGTAAGAAGGCCAGCCACTTCCAAACACCTGCACGGATGCAGCCATGAACTCAGCGCAAAGGTGTTGCATGTCACACAGATACAGAGAAGGTTGTGTGAGGTCTACAAGTTTGCTGTAGCGTCAGAAAACAGTATAAGAAAGGAGTGATTGATCCAAGCAACGTCGGGTGGTGGAAGTCCATCTCTGTGAGTCCATTAGGGGAGGACTAGGGCATCTGGAAGATTGTGACTTGGAAGATGAGGATATTGGATGAACAAAGGAAAGGAAAGGGAAAAAAAGCTCATAATGGATGGGTGGAAAGCAGAGAGTACAGAAAAACGTGTTTGGGCCATTTGAAACCCAAGAATCAATGAGAGAAGGGATTCTGAGTGTGCTTTAAAAAGGCCTGTTTCGTGTGTGTGATACTTCAGCCTTTTCATATGCCAAGGAATGAATGTAATCTGGAAGCCTAGTTGATTTGACTGTGATGAAAGACTGAGGGAGCCAGTGAGCGTGATAAGAGAATCTCAGTGGGGCAGACCCTGTTTTGTAGTGTCAAGCATGGTCTCAGGAAAACGTGGACGTGGAGGAAAAGGAAAGAAGTGAAGAACAAGAGGGAAGGTACCACCAGCGCAGGAAAATAAAGGAAAAACGGCCTGTGAAAAGTTATGGCACTAATCTCCCCCCAAAAGAACAGGATAGTGGTGCGACAGGACAAAGGGGATAAACAGTTGCAAGTGATACATAATTGGTGAAAAAGTGGAGGAGGTGGGTGAATTTGTGTACAGTGGTAAATGTTTACTACAGACAGGAAAAGGGGCGGAAATCACTACTCAGTGGGAGACCCCGTTTCCTGGCAGTCCCCAAACTGATTCCCTGCAAAGGTGAGCTTTTGGTGCTAACCGGGAGAGCAGAGGTGGTCCTTCCAAACCGCTCGCGCACTTCCCCCCATCTGGAGCCCTCCAGCTGCATTGCAATGAATCCCCAGAATTATGCAGCTCTGCAGCCCCACCTCACCTGCCAAGGACCAGATTAGGGCAGCCCTGATGAAGGTTGCGAAGGTCAACAGTGGGGTTTTAAATGGGGTCTGGAAGTGGTCCAGCCCCTGGGGCGGTTGACACAAAATCAATGGAAGGGCTCCAGTTGCTGAGCATCAGATGACAGTCTGGCTGTGTGGTTCTGCATCGCTGGCAATTTCTGCGCTTCCCCCGGGCATCTTTGCTTCCTGCATTTGCTTGCTACCTTTCTTTCAAGGCTTCCAGAGTGTGTGATCATCTCCAACAAAAACACACAACGAAAGAAAACACGCAAATAAGACTTCAGGAACGATCAGAAGAAGAGGCTGGTCTCAGTCCATGCAGGTAGAGGGACACTAGACAGTGTCCTTCAGACTTGGCCAGTTTAAGATGTGTGGACTTCAGCTCCCAGAATTCCCCACCCAGCATGCTGGCTGGGGAATTCTGGGAGTTGAAGTCCACACATCTTAAAGTTGCCAAGGTTGAAAAACACGGCACTAGAGCCATGGCATGCAGATTTCCCTTGGGTGCATCTTCTACCAACTTGGAAGTAAAACCCCCCAATGTGAGCACTGGAGGAAGGAGGCCGGATTGCAGGACAAGGCAGCATTTTGTCTCCAAAGGATCGGCTGGAGGGGATTATTCCCCGAAAGAGAGGCTGGATTCACTGAGGCAGAACAGTGACCTCATGCCGCGTTTCTGTTTCCAAGCTTAGCCATCTGCTTCTGGAAGCTCCCGATGAGAATGAATCAGAGGAGGATGATACAGACCCCTTCTCCCCACTTGTGGTGGCTTGTATCCTGGCGCGTCCCTGATTTATTTGGCAAATTTGGGTGGCCACCCATCTCAGCTCAAAGATAAAAGTCCAGTCTAAAAACCCTAGGTGCCAACCAGTTTAAATAGGAAGAATCGAGGCTCCTTACAAACCCCGTGTATCACAGCATCTTGGCCTTTCTGGAGTTGAAGATGATTGTGAAGTCCTTGAGGGTGCCTCTTCCTGACTTCTGGGGCTTTAAGATCCTTTTCCGACCCACACATCTCATTCGAAGGGGCTGGGGAAGTTTTAATTCAAACAATTTAGAGCATGGCTGGCTGGGGAATTCTGGGGGTTGAAGTCCACTCATCTTAAAGTTGCTAAGGCTGAGAAACACTGATTTAGAGGCAGTAAGTGAGTGGATTACAATATGCAGCCATGGAAGTGTGAGTGGAAGGCCACACACACCCTGGAGTTTTAAATGGCCCCAACTTTGCTAGCCTTCCGTCAGGGGCTGAAGACCTGGTTCTTCCCCTGGACTAGACGGTGGGGTGGGACCACCCTCCTGTTTTGATTCAATGTTGGGTGAGTGGCTCCAAGCGCAATGGGTTATGTTAGAATGACTTTAATTTGTTTTCTTATTTTCTTGTTGTTTGCAAGACTTCTGGAATTGTGTTGCCAGTGGGTGGCTTCCTCAATGTAAATAGGAAATGACAAAGAGAATGATGATGAACTGTACAAAAGGAGAATATCAGGCTCATTTGAAATCACATCTACAGGATTACTCAAAGCCAAGAAAATAATCTGACTCACTGTATCCACAGCTTTTAAAGTGCTTAAAGCATTGAAGGATAATCATACTGTACAGGTTGGGAAATAGTTAATTTATAAGCATCCAGATGTGCAGGGGTGGATCAAAAGAGCAGCAGCCCGCCTAGTTTTTTTGCCTCTTGCACGTGCAGCCCACATGAAAACTGGGCAGAGCTTTGAACATGACAGCCATCTTGACTTTTTTGACCCTAGCCTGCAGATACCCCTGTGGTGATTGTAAATTCGTCCCGGCTGGAAGGGTAAGCCGAGAGCAAGCCCTGATCAGGACTTGAATGGATCTTCTCTCCTCCTCGGGAGAAGAGAAATGAAACCAGAGCCGTCGATTTGGCTGTTTCCGTTCCTGCGATCCGTAATTCCTAATCTCGAATGTTTTCAGGGGAAAACAAGGCATTTAATAAACGATAAAAATAACCCTGTGGGTTCAGTGGAATCTAACGCTGCATTTAATTCAGCACTTGCTTGTCTCCAGGGGCCTTTTTGCAGGGAGCTCCAGTCACAGATGTATTCCTCTGAAACTCAAGGGACCTTCTTCTGTACAAAATTGCATTTTAGGATTGTCCTGGACGTGACTTTCCATGGGGGCATGCAACCTTTGGCCTTCCAGATGACCCTGAGTGATTTGTGGAGTCCTAATGGGTACTTTTCCCTTGTCTTATCATTGACGGCTTCCTTTCCAGCTGAACCTACGAAACTGTTCTATAGCCCAACAAGAGGTTGGTCCCTTTGGCACGAGGCCACGGGGGCCTCCTGCCCTCCCCAGCGCTCCTTTGGGTGCCACGTGCTCATCTGGAATCTTTGGCATCCAGAGCGTGCAACGTTGCGCATAGAATCCTAGGATGGGAGAGCGGGAAGGCACCACATCGTGCTGTTCTGTGCAATGTGCAGGAAAAGCAAGGGGACTGCAAATGTCAGGAATTGACATCTCTCTGCAAAGCAAGTTCCCCTATCTCTGATCAGCGCATTAACTTTTTCATCACCTTATACCAGTGTTTCTCAACCTTGGGAACTTTAAGACGTGTGGACTTCAACTCCCAGAATTCC